CCCATATCGGATGGGGTATGGGGACGGCCCTGGAATCTGATTACAAGTGTTAAGGGTTCACGGGTAGCGGGACCCCTATGGATCCCCATGGATACTAGTAGGCTGGTAAATGAGGAAAAATATGTTGTGTAATGATTGAAATGCAAAGGCGTGGTAGGTATTATGTTATACAGTTCATATGATTTCATGATGATGATAATGTTATTGCTTTCGTATGTTGTTTTATGAACTTCACCGAGATAAATGGACAGTAAATGATTTTATTATTGATAAAAGAATTTGTTATAAATTATGCTCCATTGGTCTTTTTGTGTTTTCTACCCACCTTTACCTCCGTGGCGGTGAGATAGTGTAATGTCTTTATTGGGCTGGTGTAGCTCATTCCTTATTTAACCATTTCAGATCATGAAGACATTGTTCCCGAGCCCGTTCCGCAGGAAGACGGCGAAGGGGACGCCTAAAGACTCCGTAGTTATATTTATAGTTTTTATTTTCGAGTTTCTCTTTTAGTTAGTTTGTAATTTCATATTTTGAGTACGTTTTGGTTATTGTGTAAGGGATGTTAGTCAAAATTTTTATCACGCTTCCGCATTTGACGTTTTTAACACATATATTTCATTTAAATTTCTGGAGCCGTTACAATTATACTATTCTATCATCCATATAAAACAGTTGTCATTAACATACATTAATACACAATCATCCAAATATAAAAAAATTTTGTTATTCTCATCCTATGTCATTATAATACAATCATTGTTATTACCATATATTAATTACCAATCACTAAAATATATCTAAAGAGGGCCTTAGTCTACAATTCTTGTCCTAAAATTAGTTGTAATATCAAGTAACGAGAAAAATTTTTTTTGAGTTCTGCATTTTATTCAAATCATTACATAACATTTGATTCTTTTGTCAAGAATTTGTGAGTTCTTAATGTGAGGATCTTGATATAAAAATTTCTAAATAATTTTTTGAAAGTATCACATGAATTTTTCGATTCTTTTATCTTTTAAATATTTTTTGAAAAATAAATATACTAAAAATATAAATATCATATATATTGTTAGTGAAAGATTTTTCTTGACATTTTATTATGATAAATTTTTATATTCAAGTTTATATTTGGTACAAAAACTTAAGATTCAATTTAACAAATCAGAATTAAATAGATATTTTTATATATGGCTATGCTAAAATAGAGATTAGATGCATTTAAATACTAAAAAGATTTAGGAAACTTATTTAAACAAAATACATAATTAATAGTAGTAAATAATAAATAAACCTAAAATTACATTAGTACAAAATTTTAATTGCAAAATAGTTCACTATTTATATCTTTACCATTTAAAAAGAATGCTTTGCTTGGTAAATTTTATAAAAATAATTTTTATAATTTTCATAATTAAAATGTTAATATCCTTCTTCGAAATAGCATTTCATTTTATTTTTTTTTAAATATAAAAGTTGTAATTGTAAAAATATTTTTTATAAGACAACCGATTAAAAAAAAAAACACATCCGTAGGAAGAATTACGGATAAGAAAAATAAAACTGGGAAGGTCAAGTGTCAACAGGTAAAATCGAGTCCTGATGCCAACCTAAAACTAAATATAATTAAATTAAACTTTCGGGTCCATCACTAACCAATAAGCACTCTCCACGTAAGCTCTTTATTCTTTTTCCTTTTGATTTTATATAAAAATAAAATATTATCGAAGTTTCTTTTCACTGGAAGCTCTCTCCTTTGTTAGAACCCAACAGGAGGATCTCTCGCAGGTACTACGACTTCTCCTTCATCAATCCAATTGATTTTTTTTTTTTTGGGGGTTCGATCTTTGACTTTTGGTTTTGAATTCTCTCTGTTTTCATTTGTATAATAAGCTCGGGCGATCTAGGGTTTGTGGATCATTTTTAGGGTTTAGGATATGGCATCGAAGCGGATCTTGAAGGAGCTCAAGGATCTCCAGAAGGATCCTCCTACCTCTTGCAGCGCAGGTTGCTCTTGTCTTCTCCTTGGATCCATTTTTCTTTTCGTTTGATCTCGTTTGTTTTTGTTTGATTGATTATTGTTGGTTCTATGTTTTGATCCTTCTGTTATATTTGTCTCGTTGAACAAATTAAGTGTCTCTTTTTCGCGTGTTTTCCTTTTCTATCCACGTTGTGATTTCTGCTTGTGGTTTGCCTGAAGTTTGTGGTCTTCGAATTTGTTTTTCCAAGTCGTGGGATTACTATGCAGTTTTGTTATTGCATGAGAGGAGAGAGTCGATATTAGCGCTATAATTTCGATGCTTTTGTAACTTGAGAAAATGATATGCATTTTTTTCCACTGTTTTGGTTTTGCAGTTTACTTAATTTATAATTTTTTTTTTTTAAAAATATAATTATATTTTTTAAAAAATATAATTAAGCTGCTATCTACCTGCTTTTATTTTGATATACAAAAAATATGATGAAAAAAAGGTTTTTAATCTACTTGCTAATCGTTATCATAAATGTAACTTAACGGTACCTTTAGCTTTAGTGTGAATTCTTAGATCCTGTATGACTCAAATGAAAAGTACATTTACTGCATTGACTTCATGGTGCTACCGAGCATCTACCATGTTTGTGGGAAGTGACAATGATGATTTCCTTTTATAATTGGCTCATGCGGGTAAATCGTTACCATGCTCTGCTTAGGTCTTTGTTAGATGGTTATTGTCTCTTTTTTTGTTAGACATTGTATACGTCAATCATATATGGGTCCAAAAATTAAGTCCTTTGGAAGTCAAGCCAGTATTAAAGAAAATAACCAACATTTAGTTGGAGGGTTCGATATTCCTCAAAACATCTGCACGCTAAAAGAGTAAAACTGTGAAGTTCGGTATAAAAGCAACCACTTGGTGGGATCCCTTTTTGCGAGCCCTGCTAGATTTTTCACTCCCTTAATTTATTTAAACAAGTTGACTTTGCTTCTAGAAGAAACATTGCTTATCGGGAATGAAAAAGTTATCATTCCCTATGTGAAAATGCCGCCTTTTCAGCCATGATAGGAAAACAACTTTGTGCACATAACTTTTTCCAGCTTGATTTTTCCATTTCAGTTTCTTCTTTTTGGTTTTCTCGTTAAATATTACACTATATGGGATTATTTATCCCTTTTCTTGCACTGCACTAATTCAATCCAACTATCTTTGCTCTCCCTGCTGTATATCTTTAGGCCCAGTTGCTGAAGACATGTTTCACTGGCAAGCAACAATTATGGGTCCTCCTGACAGCCCATATGCAGGTGGAGTGTTTCTAGTCACAATTCATTTTCCTCCAGACTATCCATTCAAACCACCTAAGGTACTTAAATAACTTCTATGGTAGAAGCAATAAGCTGGTAATATATTTCCATGCAATCTCTTTTTTCTCTTTCATAAAGTTACTTCAGGTTAAACATTACTTTACTTTCTTCCCTTTTTTGGTCAACATCCTTATGTTTATTATATGTGATATCTTTTGTTAATTCATTGATTAGCATGTAAAGAAAAAAAGAAACTTATTGATTAACACGAGTGTTCAAATAAAAAGTTACTCACCTTGTAAGCTTGTGGAGAAGGCTAGCAGAAGAATTCTGTGTTTTTCTAGTGACTTAGCTTGTGACATGTTTGGTCTGTTTGAATGGAATAAGATTGAAATTGAATAGCTATATGGTGGTAAAGATCTATCTGTAATTGATTTGCAGTTATATTATGATCTCTTGTTCGCAATTAGTAATAGCTCATATAAACATTATACTATTTTTAGTATCAGAAATTAAAACCAAGCTATAACAAATTATAAGCGATGATAGTATCCCTCCTTACTATATGTATCTAAAGATATAGCACATACAGCAAATGCTGCATCTATATATTGATAAAATTTATAGGTTATTACATACTAAATTGATATCGATATAATATTTAATTAATAAAATTATAAAATTTCATATAACTTTGCTTAATAAGCTGTTGGAACTTACTATTATAATGTTGTCTTGTCTTTTTTCATTTTTATAAAATTAATAAAATTATTTTCATATTGTGATTCATATAATTATTTTTAATTATAAAATTTCATTTAAAGGATTATATCCCATACAATGTAATGCTAAAAAGGTAAATGATCCTAAAGATAAATTAGCTTATTCTTACTTTGGTATACCACTAAATGATCTCCACTCATGAATTAGGAATAAACTTCGTCAGCAATTACAATTTCAAATAATCATGATTCAACCAATTAAATGATAATCATGAAGGAGAAGCATTGCTGGTCTGTAGTCTATGACACCACTGTGGTTATGCTACATTGCCCAAGCTGTAAGATGGAGATGATTGTGAGACTAGAGGTGAGGGGAGAGAGG